CATCGTCAATTCTTATTGGAATCACTTGGACAGTAGACAGGATGAATGGGCATTGAGCACTGCTGATTTTCGCAAGTTGGAGCAAAACCCTGTCTGGACACTTGGTTTCTATGGAGACGAAGCCAATGTTGGGTTCAAGAATGCTCCCCAATCGAAGGTGTACGGCATGTTCATGAGTCTGCCGTTATTTCGACCGAAGGCAGCCCGACTTGCACGGTATCTCATTTGTGCCATTGAAAGCGACAAAGTCGTAAGTGTGGAAGAAACATTTTTCCCCATACTTGATGTGGTAGTTCAGAGCTTCAATATGACGGCCGAGATCGGGGTGCTGGGACGACGGTTTCTAGTTTCAGAAATTCGTGGAGATCAAGTATGGATCAGGTACCTATTTAGACACAATGCTTTCTGGCGCTCCACACATGTATGCTTTCGCTGCAAAGCCTGTGCAGACTCTTCACCATTGAGTTACATGCTGTACCAGTCTAATGATGGCTGGGGAGAAACAAGACGATCCACTGCTGAGTTCATCACTGAAGAGCTACAGTACCCGTTGTGTGCCTCGGCATGGTCCTAACCTTTCCTAGCTCCGTCGAACAAGAAGACCTTTTTGGGGAGTAAGGACCCTAGCTATCCCAAAGTTGCACAGGCCCGCGGTCCGCTCCTCCACGCGTGCACGAGCGCGAGGCTCATCATATCCTCGCCCCTTTCGAGCAAACGCGATTGGGGGCACGTCAAGCGCGCCCGCGCCCCCTTGTTGGCCCCTGGACAATATTAAAACGGGGGTTTGTTGCCCTGCCCAGATCGCTGCGTGTTGAAGCAACCCCTACGGAGAAACCCACATCCTAGGATCCTTGTTTTGCATTCGAAGGGCTTAACCTTCCTAGGAGCCCTTCTTATCATTTTCAGAAACTCTACCATGAGGGTTGTGCTTTTTAGGGGGCTAGATAGTTTGACACGTCCCACCCAACGCGCGCGCGTGGAGCTTTCGCAAGCGAGTGTGTTTCCACAGGTCCCAAATTATTTTGGTTGACACTTACCAAAGAACTCTGGGGTCCTTTTTGGGAAACGGATTAACATTGCAAACCCAGATCCGGCCCCCATGTCATCGAAGGTTCCCGGTCATCGCTCGATGTTCATGGGTGCAAAACATATTGGAATTTGGAGAGGCCTAGTATCGATATGTCGGTGGTCCGTTTTTGTGGAGGTATGCAGTGATGCTGATGGGCCCGGGAAAACAGCAAAAAAACGTGGGTTTTGACAGGTCACGAGCTGGTCGCTTTGCTTTGTTTGAGTTTGGAGCCTCAGGGCAGTGATCCGCATCCGAAAGGTGGAGAAAACACTCGCTCGAAAGTCTGGGAAGCCATGGTGGCCGGTCTTGTTTGGGACTCACATCAAGCAATATTGATCGATGGAGGAACAACGCGTTCAAAACTTTGAGGAACCCTTCTTTCCATCTTGGCTGGGGTTAAGTGGTGCCTCAGTCTTGTTTGATCATTGTTGAGGGGATGGAGAAACGAGACAATTCGACTCCGGCCCGGTTTGTTGCTTGGTCATCATGATGGGATGGAACAAAAACAAGTCTGTCCGAAGCTTTTGGGAACCCCTCTTTCCATTTGTGCCCGGTCAAGATGTGGTCCCTTAGCTTTTAAATTTTTGGGGGCGCTGATCAATCTTCAAATCTTTCTGACGGGGTGGAAAAGCGGAAGCCCTTCATCTTGGCCCAGTTTGGTCGTTGTTGGTGGGCCGAAAAAACGAGCTCGAAACTTTAAGGAACCCTTCTTTCCATCCTTGCCGGGTCAAGAGGTGGTCCTTAGTCTTTCTGGGGAGGGGCGTTGATCGGTTGATCAATCTCTTGGGATGGAAAAATACTCGTTCAAAGGTCTGGCCTCCTTTCCACCACCAGGTCAAAATGTGGTCTGCCAAGGTTTGTTTGGGAGTCGTTTGTGGGTCTCTTGACCTGATGGGCTGTGACTTCTGCAACAAACAAGATCCAGCATGCCGAGCTGACCTCATCATATACCACAGTCACACTGTGCACCCGTACGTGCCCTTTTGCCGCACCCTCGATTGATCGAATATACTTGGCGAAGCTGGTGCACTAGACAAATCATGCAACGCCACGTTTCCACAAACTTACCTGGCGCGCACGCACCCTTGCTGCAACCCGAGCGAACTGAGACGCACACGCCAAATGAACTTTCACGATTGCGTTGTGTAATGCCCTGACGCCGCAGATCACGCTCTGTCGCGCGTTGTCACGCTCCGTCGCGCGCCGTCCGCTCTGACAGGCGTGTCGCACTTCCGCGCTGCTGCACGCAAGCTGTGCACACCGTCGTCGCTCGTTCAGCAGCGCTGTATGCGGCCCGCGCCGCGCAGCGCAAGAGCGAGCTGCGCGTTTCTAAGCCTTTGAGGAACCCTTCTTTCCATCTTGGCCACGTCGATCAAGAGGTGGTCCCTTATTTCATGTTGGTCACCCTTGGGGCAACAATGGCAAATCATGGGGCCGCCTCATGAATGTTTTGATCATTTTGGATCTCTGCCAAATCTTTTTGCATCCAGCGCTGCAGGCCCGCTGGTGGACTTGCATTTCTTCCACATCAGCCTGATTAAACATTGCACCTTGCACATCCTGAATCTTCGGATGTTGGGTGTTTGCAACGGATCAACCTTGTGCCTTGCCGGTAGTGTGTGGCCTTGCCACTCTTGGTGCACCAGTCTTGGTACACATTAGACCCGTTCATGGGATCGGTGTGCGTGTGACCATTTTTTGCATGTGGGCATCCAAGGGCAATACTCCTGCACATGCACGTGTTCGGACCCATCGACAGCGCGGGCGCGGGTGGATACAAGGATGCCTTGAACGCAGCGTTCGACGACTTTACCCACTGGCGAAGGGAGCACAAAATCACATGTTCACACAAGAGGTTTTCTTTCAATGGCTTGTTCAACGAGGAATACGGAGCCTTCCTCAATGCGAAAGGCTACAATGCTCGTGTTCTCAGCGAATGGCTGCTAGATTGCGTGCGTCAAACCAACTTTGGCCAGCAGGCTGCGCCGCCCCGGACACTTGGGGTTCACCCTGGCCCAATTTTGCCCGATGAGCGCATGGAGCTCTGCGAAGTTGCTTTGTGTCGTGGCTAAACAACCAACCCAGAATCGGACGTTTTCCATTGACCCCGGGGTGCCAAAAACACCTGCCCTTTGGCCCAGGACGGGCATTTGCAGATATTTCGGACTGACCGAGCGCGCCTCCAGAGCTCTGCCGCTTGGCAGTGCCCATTGCTCTCTGTGCGCATGCGGTTTGGCCAATCGAGTCGGCATGAAGGTTAATTAATTAAGGTGTTTCAGGATGCAACTCAGGAGTGCTGAACAAGCGCAACAAATTGAGAAGGCTGGCAGGACATTCTTGGAGGCCTCGCGGCAATTGAACATAGAGAGTGTGAGGCCGGGCCGAACCCACTGGCTGACCCGCAAAAAACAAACACTTACAAGGAGGGCCTGTTTCATCTCGAATGGTTTGTGGTATATCTGACCCTCATAGGCGGAAAGAGCTTGCCTGGGTGATTACGCCCAAATGGCACGTTCCTTGGTTGACATAAATTGCATATTGGATTTGGTTTCTGGGGGCTTGCGAATTCTTGTGATCCTAGGCTTTCTCTCATGTACTGCAAGACGTGGTACTTCAAACCCGCAGCGTGTCTGCAAATTTAAACTGAGCACGTAGGGAACGTGTGGCATGTGGCTTGCTCATTGAATTTGTTGAACCAGGGGCCCTTGCATATAATTTCCCCAGGTGAAAATCCTCGATACATCCATACCTTCTGCGATGAAGATCAAATGGGAGCTTTGAAAGGCGGCGGGTACTTGGCGAGGGTTTGACACTAGAAATGGGCCTTTCGCTACAGCTCGCGCATGCAGGTTGGACGAAACGGGCCGGGAGATCACGGATACTTCAGGGCAGAGAGAAGGGGATCATGCTACTTGCAAGGGCTCGCCTGAAGTCGCTTCGATGGCGCTTGAAAGAGTTGATGCGGCAGAACAAGACCCGGTGGAAAAAATCGACCGTGGGGGGGCTCTGCCAGGGTTGAACGGTGATTTAGGCACATGTTCTAGATTCATGTTTTTGCAACCAGGGGTAAACATTGCATTTCCGGAAATGCGCTGTTTTACCAGGGTAAACACAAACATGCGGAGTTAAACTTCGACGCGGGAAGGCTAGGGTATGTATATGGTGATTGTTCAACATTCATTTGTCTCGAAACGGCCAGAAAATCGCAGCTTTTAAGTGCCAGCGTAGTGCGCAAAATGCAATTCCCCAACTCCAGCTGTCAAGTCGCAACTTTTCATCACACAGATAATACATGACATGAACCGGCTGGAAAGTCACAGCTTTTTGTAAGCCGTTTTTTCTCCAGCTTAAAGTCGCAAGTTTCCAGATAGTATACTGACTAGCGCGGCGCTCAGAAAGTACCTCCCCTTGCAATCGAAGCCTGCGCTTTCGCGCGAATCACGTTTTTCCCCCTTTCAGCATGCTTCCCGTTCCCTTTCTTTCAACTTGCCTGCCTAGGTTCTTTTGCTGTTTTGTTTTTGTGTTTTTTCTTCAAGTTGTTTTTTTTTTTGGGGGGGGTTGGGGGTCCCTTTAAAGGCAAGGCTGGTGCGTTGCCAACCTCCCAAGTCGTTGGCACTTTCCGATTCCGATGTGTTGCGTAGCACAAGCCCGCCAACTCACTAACCTCTCCCGAACGCCCCGCGAGATTCAAAACCTCAGCTCCTCTGACCCCTCAACTCACCCCCCAAGCCGCTAGGTGAGTCGCAATCAAACCCCGGTGTTAAAATGGTCGTAATCCCAGAACCATGCTTCAAGAACTAAGAAGGCGGATTTCCGCAACTATTTCCGGCTGCGACTGCCCCTAACCTTTATCAATGCCCGAGTCTTGAGCAAGTGGCTCAGGTGTTTCCCTCGGCTTCTGGTTGAAGGCTCTTGAACCCTTCCGAGGCGCGGGTGGGCGGCACCCCGCTTCCGGAGGGCTTCACCGTCAGCGCAGGCGAGCGCTCCCCCACCGTGGCATAGAGCACGGTGCTGCCCCCGTAGCTGTAGCCTACACCGTTTTAACAAAAGGTCCTCCAATAGAAAGCTTGGAAGAAGGGTACCCGATTTTTTCAGTTTTGTCTACTTTAGCAGGGGTTCCCCAACAAAAAGGTGTAAAAGGGCACTGGGGGACCTAGAAACAAACATGGGTGGCCGGTCATTTTTTTGGAAGGGGAACCACTGTGGGGATTTTCGACTTGGAAGGCCAAGCTTTTCGGGCCCTAAAGCTAAGACATGACCCACATAGGGCCTGCAAAGGTGGAGAGGTGTCCAGGGTCCCTGAATGGATCGACCCCAAAAAATCCCCAAAAACCCCAGGTTCTTCACCATGTCACCAAGTCACCTCACCCAGCCATTTTCTTTTGCCCGGTAGGTTGACCCAGTCGCCTGGCTTAGGGGCTTCGGGGAACCCGGGAACGCTTCAGCGCCCAGGCCGTAGGGCACCACTGAAGTCAAACGATCGTTGACTTCGGAATCCGGAGGACCGAAGTCAAAACAGGGATGGTTGGGTTGCCTTTTGCTAGGTGAGGAAATGACATACCTTTGAGATCCTTTGGGGCTTCCTCCAACTGCAGATTCATCCGAAGCTGACATTATCAACCGCAGATTGATCCGAAGCTCACATGACCATCTGACGAAAGGATCTTGCCATCCAACCACCAGCCACCACCAAACCGCATACACGTCGTCAAACCACACAGCTCAATTCATCCGAGAAGCTCATGGAGTTCCATTTCTGAGGCGCCAGCACCGGCATCTGTGCCTTCCCCGTGCCCTTGGTGATGCTGCACACGGCCCCACGCCCCAGCGTGGTGCCACTGGCGTCCTGGATGGGAGTGAGGGGTGGGGCGGGGTGGGGGAGGGGACTGGAGGATGGTTGGCTCAACATCAGCTTTGCACCCTTTTGCGATCCAATTGTGTCCAGTGGAAAGCCTTGTATGTTTCGGGGACGTTTCTGGGCAACAGGCGAACATGTTAAAACTGAAAATGACAAAGCCCCAACGGATCATGGGGCTCGTTTTACCTCCAAATAAGCTCAATATAACTTGTCCCAATGGTAAAAAAAGAAGAAGGATATCTGCTAGCCTCCCATTTGAACGGCCCAAGCAACTCTAGTGCAACCGCAAGCCATCGCCCGAAATGGAGGGCACCTCAAAGGACCGCAAAGGCCACTGGACTGACTTGCGCTCCAAACTCAGCAACGCCAGCCCACATGCCCTTCTGCAAGGCTACGTTGCGTTTGGGTTCTCTGTGCGTTTTTCTTCCTGTCACGTTCTGGACAACAGTAAGGAATCTTGGGCCTGTGAAGCTGTATGACTAGACTTGCCGCACTCTGCATGTCAAGATGAAAGCGAGAAGACTTTGCCTCGATGGCTACGCAGCTTGATTCAGACTCGTCCTCGGGCCGCCACCCTTTTCACCATTGGACACCCATCAAAAGTCCTGTGCGCCATTGTCACGGTTCATAAGAGTGTGTATCACGACCACAGGACAACTGCCAAGACAATCAACACAATTGATTTCCATTGATTTCTCCAACCAGCTACCCAGATTGATTAATCTTGGTGAGGGTGTGCGTCTTCCTTAGGTAACTTTTACAAATTGTGGCTTTCCTCTGGCTTCGCTTCAAAACCACATCTGCACAACGGGCGGGGGATCAGTTGCGCACACAAATTTGGATCAGTTGCGCACACAAAACCCCCCTGAGTTCTGGCTCAGTTACGCACACATATTTGGATCAGTTGCGCACACAGAGCTCTAGATGCATGGAATTGGGTGGGTGGGTGGGTGGGGTGGCTTGGTGGGTGGGTGGGGGCGGTGGGTGGTTGGTTGGGGTTGGGTGGGTGGGTGGGTGGGTGGGTGGGGTGGCTTGGTGGGTGGGTGGGGTGGGTGGGGTGGGCGGTTCCAGAAAGGAGCGCACACAAGTAGGTGGATGGAAGTGGTGGCATCACAAGAGATGGGGTAGGTGGATGGAAGTGGTGGCATCAGAAGGGGTGGGGGGTGGGTGGGTGGGTGGGTGGGTGGGTGGGTGGGTGGGTGGGTGGGTGGGTGGGTGGGTGGGTGGGTGGGTGGGTGGGTGGGTGGGGTGGCTTGGTGGGTGGGTGGGGTGGGTGGGGTGGGCGGTTCCAGAAAGGAACGCACACAAGTAGGTGGATGGAAGTGGTGGCATCACAAGAGATGGGGTAGGTGGATGGAAGTGGCGGCATCAGAAGGGGTGGGTGGGGTGGGTGGGTGGGTGGGTGGGTGGGTGGGTGGGTGTGGGGTCCAGAAAGGAACGCACACAAGAGATGGGGTAGGTGGATGGAAGTGGCGGCATCAGAAGGGGTGGGTGGGGTGGGTGGGGGGGGTGGGGTCCAGAAAGGAACGCACACAAGAGATGGGGTAGGTGGATGGAAGTGGCGGCATCAGAAGGGCAAGAATGGGCGTGTGGCAATGGCTTACATGAGGGTCATACACACAAAACACTGCGTGAAATCGTGTTATACCATCCTATCTTGCGGAGAAAAAAAAGATCAGCGTGTATCAGCCGGACGAAACAGTTAAACCGCGAGTCAATGTCATTATCCTCCACAAGACTTAAACTGGGTAGATGAGATAGGGGTTGTGGCGAGGGATCAGCATTACCTGCCATGCTTGTACTATATATATAAAAAAAAGAGATACGATCTCAATCACAGGAACTGTGTACCAGCAACTGGTAGATAGAATGCTCTACATTGGTATACATGCGTGCTCGCGCTCGCACACAATAGCCAAGAAGTCAAGCCAAGAGTGGGTCCCAACTCCCCTGTCAACTTGCTTTATCTCCCTAGTGTAAGATCATTTGCCTCAGGCTCACACAAGGCGCCGACCGTATACTTTGACAAAGCTTTAGTCTGGCCCTTAATTTGGGTAAGCACTTTCCAGGGGCGCCGAATTTCCCAGCCTTGGTTTTGGGCATGGCTGATCTGAAAGAAACCCAAAACAAAGGGGCCGCAAGCTACACTTTGATCCTTTCCTCCTGTTGCCACAACGTCGCCCCATCCCCCGCCATCGCAGCCTTGAACTGCGCTCTGCTGGGGGATGGGGCGCGCTCTGAAAGAAACCCAAAACGAAGGGGGCGCAAGCTACACTTTGTCCGAGACTCCATGACGTCAGTCTAAATAGCTGATTCCAAGGTAAGCCAGTCTGCGTGCACAACTGAGCCGGGCCTCGCGTGCACAACCGAGCCAGATTCTCGCGTGCACAACCGAGGCACCACCCTGCACAACCGTGGTGCTCCAACAAACATCTGAACAAAAAAACATCGCTTTAAACGGGGGTAGTCCAACAAAACCATCTCTATAAAACCGTGGTTCTCCAACAAACGCAGCCCCATCTGTTTGAAGAAACCAAGCCGAGGCTTGCGCTTCAGTCCGTCACTTCGCCACCAGAGCCGGAGCCAAGGGAGAGGACGCCACTGCTGCTCACAGAGAGCCACTGGGCCTGCCCGGGGCGCGAGCGAGAGTGCACCCTGACTTTGGATTCTTCTTCAGCCGTAAATGGGCGGCTCGTCAATTTTGAGCGTGCCTCGTTTGTTAATGGAATAAATTGAAGTCGAACGGAAACCACAAGGAGAACCACCATTTGAAAAATGCCCTAAGAAAAGACACAGTTTAGGAACTCGACGTCTTCTTCGGAAACAACAGATACGATTTGATGGTAACATGCAGGAATCACAACAATCCCTAAGACTTATGTGGCCCATAGGGGTTGAGCCTTACAAGGGCCGAGTCAATTTCCAGGGGAGTAGCAATGTGACTTCCTGCAAACATGACAGTCTTTAAGGATTCTGGCTAAGATGCGTGAAACCACAGGGATGCCCAACAGAAAGGGCTTCTCCAACAACGGGAGCTGTTTTTCGGGTTCCCTCCAAACACAGGTACTTTTTGTTCCAGTTCCAAACGGTTTCTAGCAGAGAAAAAAAGCAGCCAGCGCGATTCCCGGGGTATGTTCATGGTTCCTTCGCGACACAAGTAAGCAGAGCAGATTTACGGTTGCCGGGAGAACTACCAGCGGGTAGTTGATCCAAAAACGATGGAAGCCGATTGCCACTCGGGTTTTCTGAAAAGGAAGTGAGGGGTGGTTGGATGCCTGCAAAACATAGGCATCGCAACCCAAGCCCCTGGGATTTGGTCGCTCAAATGGCACATCACCAAAACGCAATGAGCCACTGAACATCAGAGTGGCATGAGTCACTTATCGAGGAAAAGGGAGCACTGTGTGCAGTGTTCATTACTGTGGGTGACCAAGCGGAAAGAAACATCGGCATACAAATAATATTTATGTGTTGTGCACGTATGCCATCACACATGATGCTATGACAGCATCAGTCGAGCTACCCAAAGGGTGAGGCTAATTTGTGTTGTTGACTTTTTTTGGATGGGGTAAAGGGTTTGAAGGAATTGTGAAAGTACGAGGGATCCGTAGGGCCACTGAACGACTAACGAACTAATAAACCAACTAAACCAACGAAACGACCAACCGACCGACCGACCGACCGACCAACCAACTAGCTAATCAGGCAACTAACCAGGGAACCAACCAACCAACCAACCAACCAACCAACCAACCAACCAACCAACCAACCAACCAACCAACCAACCAACCAACCAACCAACCAACCAACCAACCAACCAACCAACCAACCAACCAACCAACCAACCAACCAACCAACATCAACCAACCAACCAACCAACCAACCAACCAACCAACCAACATCAACCAACCAACCATCCAACCAACATCAACCAACCAAAATGTCCCGCCTCCGGAGAGCAAGCCAAAGAGAAGGAGCCCGAAAGCCCCGGCGCTGTCACAGGGGCAGCAGAGTTGCTGCCGCGCAACACCACGGGCCCGCTGCCATAGCCCAGCTCCCCCACCACAGCCTTGGCAAAAAACGCAAGCTTCTCTTCAGCTTCTGCCATGCAAACAACTGCTAAAGACGTCCTCCATATTTCAGTGACCTCGATTCATTCTTGGGGAAGGTCACTTAGCTGAGTTTCAACAGGTCACTTAAGCGAGACTAAGGCTACTTAGGCTACACCGGCGCCAAGTAGAAACAAGTGGTTCCCGGCTACCTGGAGGAGTGTACGTTTGAGCCCAATCTATGGCCACTGAGCACTGTTGATGACGAGGAAGCGGCGACACTCGAATGACACTCAAGCTAGTCGACACACCTCTTCGTGACCCAAGTGACCTCGATTCGAATCCGCGCGACACTCAAATGACACGCATTGACACTCACATTTGAATACTAATGCGCAAGCCGCTGCCTGCACTTCGGCCATGCTTTTGTTTACAAGCTCGATTGAGAATAAAACTTTGCACGCTCCAGGGCAACAATGGCCATTTGTACAGCCCCGACACTCAGTTCAGTGGCCTCATTTCATCTTTTGTCTAAGTGGCCACGATTTGAGGGCACTAAAAAGAAGCTGGCTGTATTGTTTGCATTTTATTGGCATACTGGTGGGGAGAGCTGTTTTCGGAAGTCGTCTCGTTTCTTGCAATCGGGGATTCGGGTAAGTTTGCCGATGCATCGATTGAGGCTGTTTGTTTGCTGTTCCTGTTGCAGTGGCCGTTAAAGAGTAATTCCGAAAAGGGTACCAGCCCCATATTTCCTGCACAAACATGGGACAGCGGCTGGCCAAAACATGTTCTGAAAAACGCAGTCTTGGCAACAGCTGGGCAACTGGGCGATGGACACATTGAGTGGCTCCAAGCCGAGCCTTGTAGAATCAAGCCATGCCTTCATGAAAGCAAATTGTATGGACTGAGCTCCGTTAAGGAACATACAAATCGTCATGCCAAAGTTACAATGGAGAAGCCGAAGCAAAACCTCACTACGTGTCTCTCTTGAACAAGCGCCGTCATTTCGCCGGCTCGCTGCGCTGAGCCAGCGGGTTTTTACGGGCGATATGGACTAGACCTTCAAGTGTTGGCACAGGCGGAAGGGTCGAAGTGCTGCGAAAAGGTTCGAAACCCATGGCAAAGCTGCAAAAGTTTAGCGCATCTCCAAGTGCTTAATGGGTATGGCACCTGCCAATTTGTCACGACTGCGTCTGGCGCACTGGGATTTGCAAATCACCTGACAGTGCCAAAAATTAAAGCGCAATCAGTGAAAAGTGCAGAAGGGCACAAACTTTCAGCGACTCTGATGGAATTTCCAGAAGTATCTTGATGAAACAAAGTTGCGCTAGTGGAGGCATCGATCAACGAAGGCAAGGGTCACTCTTAAGCGAAAGGTCAGCTCTATCCTCACAAATTCTCTTTCTCGCCCCAAGCCTCCAAAACTCCATGCCCTGTCGTCCAAAAAACATAGCCACTGTCAAAGCTTTGACACCAACCAGCCAACTAAAATTTTATTAGCTGACCCAGCCGATGCTGAAATCCGAGGTGCCACCAACGGAGCTGAGGCGGACAAGCCATCTGCCTGGCCGGCTCGCGACTGGCTGAGGCAATTTGAGACAAAGTCCTTGGTGTCCTGTCAAATTGAACCATGAATGTTAAGCACAAGCCGAAAAGAACGGCTTTTTTCATGGTTCGGCGCAAATCAACTGAAACAAGTAAATATTTAATTCCACATCAGCCAGTGATACTTTTGGCTTCTCTCCAGTGCCACATGCAGAAAACATTAAGTCCTTGGTGTCCGGGAAACCGTGTTCTTCAGTTTCTGTTTAACCATTTGTGGTTCACATGTTAAACAACATCTGAACAACACGGTCTCCCATGTTTCTCTGCAAAACAAAAAACAAAACCAAGATCATTTCACTTCAGCCGAGATACTTTGGCTTCTCTCGAGTGCCACATGCAGAAAACCACAGTACCTCCACAGTGGAGAAGGAACTGAATCCTCTCCCCACAGTCAAACATCACACACTCCAGCGATCCGCAATGCCTTTAAACACACACACACACATTCATGTATTCTAGCAAAACCCATCGAGCAACACATCAATGCGCTGCAGATTAGCACGGAACCCCTCCATTTGCCCAAGTCCCTTGGAAAAAACAACATATGTCCAGTCGTGACACATCCCCATTAAAACCAACAAGGTGAAACAAATTTAATTTCAGCAAATGGAAGAACCCGCAACGTCCTTCTGAGCGAAATCACCCTTTGGTACTTCCTCTTCTGGGGTGTCCATGACTGAAAAGGGGTACTTGTAGAGAGGTGAACTGGAAAATCCATTCCGCACCTTCTGCTAAAGTCAGCTGAAAACAACGTGTAGAGATGGATCCCCAAAAGAAGCCAACAGGGGGCAAATAAAGCATATACGGGTGTCTGTTTTTGGGGAACCCAACAACAAAAAACAAACATATGGTTGGTGGTCCTCTTAGTTTCCCTCAAAAACCACCAGTAAAAGGGCTTAACATCAAAAAAGAACACCCCAAAAAATGGAAGTGCAGGGCTCAGACTCCAGACCTTGAGAGTATCTCTATCGCGGATCGCGAATCGCCTGCATGGCCGTGACGGTGCACTTCACCTCAAAGCTCGTGACGAGGCCGCAGCCGACCGTCGAGCACCTAGCTCGGAGCTGGGGGGGTGAGGCCCTGCCGGGGTGCCTATTCCAGAAGGGAACTGGTACCCTGTGGTAGTAGAGGTTGTTGATTTGGTGGATCTATTCCGGAGAGAGTCCAATATGCCAATATGGAGGATTGGAGGATGGATTGTCCCTGGTGGCTTGTGCTAACTGTGATTCCTGTAAAGCGGTCTGCAAGCCTTGTTATCAATGTACCATGAGTTGAATGACTGTACAAATGACTTGAAGGGCCTTGAGCCATCATGTCAGCGGAGTGTGTGAATAGGTCAATGTGCAACAAAAAGCAACACAAAACAGACACAAATTTCCCTTTCACACCGAAGTGTATGATTGGCTTCTTGGCCTTACGTGCCGTAGCCAAAAATTGTTACAATGATTCATCCAATTTAGTCTGTACTGGTTCTGTGAAATACCTAGATGTATCGAAAAGGTGATGCACAACACTATGTACATGCGGGACGGATGTGAAACTATTGATCTCTCACTGAATAGTCTTGTTGGCGGTGAGGATCAGTCTGGTTGAAGTTCGTAGTGCCGATCGTGGGAGTCTTCTCAGTCGGTCGAATAAGTGCCTCGGATTGACTGCCATAGTCTCCATAATCATTCCAGGTCGGGTCGCCATAGTCTTTCCATTGCTTTGGATTGCCCCAGTACTGCTTGCTGTACTCCTTGTACTCTTGCTGAGTCCAGGATTGCTTCTTCTTGAGGTGCTCCTTGGATCTCTCAAAGTTGCGTTGCCTGGCGGCAGATCTGCTGCGGATGTAGACCATCAGCGGACTGTGCGAGTCGGAATCTTGTGAGCCATTCATGAACACCTCGTTGTTCACGTGCTTGAAACGTTCCGCGGATGAGACCTGGTAATCGAAAATGGCAGAAGTCGGATCGTTCCGCATGGCTCTCAGTTGTTCATCTTTCATGGCGTTCATCTCTTCCTTCCGGAAAACCTGCTGGATATTCGCTTTGCCCCATCCAAACACGAGAGTCATCATCACATCTGGGAATGTTCGATCATACCCTGATCCAGTCTTCATGTATAGGTGATGACGGACAATGGATTTCAGGGTGCATGAAGTCTCCATTGCACACTCCATTCTGTCCACGAGTGGCAGATTCTCTGTTTCATTCCACAATCTCTGATATGCCTTCATGAGGATATTCATGAGACCGTTGGCCGGATTGAAGACGTGCTGGAGTCTGCTGTAGGTATTCGCGGATTTGTTGGCGTCTCCGGTGATCGAATCGCATTGGTACAATGTCGCGAGTGGCATGATTTCGTTCTGAAGATCTTCCCGTGCTGCTCCATGGCTGATTGATGGATGCATGTGAAAAACTCCAATGGTAGCAAACGGGAGGTCTGCCCTCGTTACGTGGCGGCTGTCAAACTCGAGGAGTGATTTGTTGGATGAATTTGGGAGCATACCACGATACTCATCACTCTGCTCGATGTGGAGAACGACAATCTCTTTGTTACGCCCGTGTCCTTGGACAGTGGTGCGTGGTGGCAATCTCGGTCCAATGTACTTCTTGGATTCAGTGAACATGGATGGTCCCGTAGTTGCCAGGCAGTCCGAGGTCGGAATGTCGTATTCAGGATCAGTGCAATTTTCCTCGGTTCCGAAGAAACATCTGAACATTCCGAATGTGGATCCCCAATTCTGACTCTTTGTGGAAATGTGCCGTGCCAATAGTTCCACTCTTGCGGAAGGTCCGCCGCGGACAAAGCATGCGATTGGTCTGGATGACCATTGCTTGATAACGATGCCCTTGTACCCAAATCGGATGAACGTCTTGATGAGTTCCCTGGATTTCTCATCTTGAGGACTGAGGAATGCGTCTGCTTCATTGAGGCATAAGATGTGTGCGCTGTTCTGCATCATCATCTTCACGATTGGTCGATCCTTCATCGCCATGCTGTACACCTCCTTGTTGTCCAGCTTTGGATTCCTCGTGAGGTTTCCATGGTTCATAGTAAGCATGTTGATCGTCAGGGATGAGGTGAACTCATGTGTCTTGAGATGGTCCACAGGGGAACGGTCGGTCGACTGCATCAGCGATCCCAGGATATCGGCAAATGCTTGGATGACTTCTGGGTTGTCATATGACTTAAGCTTCTTCAATCCAAGTGGAAGCTTAATCGGATATCCTGATAGTGGCTGCGCCTTCCTGTACTCGTCCATGGTGGGACATTCTCCTCGATGGTGGAAATAGAACTCTTCTTCTTCGAGGTTGACATTGGGATCGACGTGTGCCAATGAGGCTCTCTCGCATTCCGTCAATTTAGGATGAGCTCCTCTTGGATCCTTGTTGTACTTCTCCATGAAGCGGATGAAGTTCTTTTTGGTCTCCACGAGCTCTTCCTCGGCGTCCTTCTTGCTCATTTCTATTTTGAGGTAGATTTCCTTGAGTTCCTGGATGAACTCGTCTAGGTTCTCGGGATTGTGATACTCCATGGTGACCTTTGGTTTTGGCTTGACGGATCTCTCCCCGGAAGGTTCCACGTTCTCCTCTTCAACTTCGTCCTGATCGGTGGAGTGCCGTCGCTTCTTAGTCTCTGTGGATGTATCCTTTTCGGATTTTCCTTATTTTGTTGGCCGTTATTCACATGGTTGAAGAAGGCATCGGTGAACTCTTGGATCTTGCTGGTGTACATCTCAATGTCTTCACGACCGAGATTTTTCTTCATGATCCAGTTGTTGCTCAGAATGATGTTCCCGTCGGGATCGAATGCTGCAACAATATTCTTCGCCTCGATGGTTTGTTCTGTCAATGCTGTTCGCTCTTCGGAGAGTCGGATGTTATAGTTCTGGTCCTTGAGGAATGCCAGGATCAGCAATGCATCTCTTCCTGTTGGCACATGTGTCAATGCTGCTTCTGACGCGTCGTCGTCAAGGATAACGTCGTCGATGCATGCCATGTGGATGTGCACTCTCCCCAAAGGGTTTGACTGGGATCTCCCAGATTTCAGCCCGTTTTCTATGATTCTGATCAAATTCTCTCCATGTGTTGCATGGAACATGAACGTGATGGGCTTCTTTGCGAACGGCTTGATCTTCCTCTCTTCTTCAACAGATTGTGGTGCCGGCCTTCGCATTCTGTATTTTGCCTGAGCTGTGCTCTCGTCTTCATGGGGCGCATCGGATCTTGATGGATGCGGACTTGCAGGAATCGATTCTGTTGGAAGATCGTATTCCGGTTCTTCTTGGCGAGGCTCACTCTTCTGTTCCGAGTACAGGGGTCGTCCAAAAGATTGGAGATCGACTTGTCGTGTGTGACCGCTGTTGCATCTCACGTAGAACTCCATATCGGGATCATTGAGGAATTCTTTTCTAGTCGGCCGGAGTGCATCGTATGCGGATCTGGATGTGAGGTTGTCGATCCGTCGATTTCTTGGAACAATGTTTCCCCTTGCCTTGCCACTTGCGCTCATTGTATGGCCCGTCCACGGATGGATACACGAACGCCATCTCGAAATGTGCCTTTCCATAATTCGGGAACATAGCCATGATGAAAGCATCCAGAAAACAATCTGCTCAATCGCTCGATTCGCCAGAGGATGAGTTCGGTGATCTGTCTTGCCTTGGTTGGAGCCATGTGAAGTATTTGCAAACCTGTTCAACATTCTGGACGGTCTTCTCAAGATCGATTTGTCTGTTATGGCATACCATCGGAATGATGTCGGTTCCGTAAACTTCTGGCTGAGCATTGGTATAGCAACAGATACTGTAGACCTTCTTGATGAAGTCCATGTATTGTTCCTCTGCATGTTGGCCTTCACCTTGAAGGGTTGGCTTCCAGTAGTCATTGAGTTTTGCTCTCAACCAGAATACCTTGGCTCCATGTTCTCGTTCATGCTCAGGAATGAAGTGGAAGTCCGGATGCATCTCGAGGATGGTAGAGCACTCCTTATAGTATTCTTGCACAAAGGTGAGGAATCGAGTATTCCCGAAGGGTCCTGGATGTACGGATGCTTTCTGAAGGCAGATGTCGGTATCTGATCCGTCTGGTACACACCACTGATTGTTGGATGTGAGAGTTGGCCGCATCGCTGGTCGCCTTGGACATGCAGGTCGTTCACCAGGATTATTGTCGGATTCCGTCTCCTCATCCAATATGTTCTTTGGTGCTGGCTTAACCTTTGATACAAGCCTCAGCGTCGGCGGTGGTGACTTCGGAATCAGTTTTGGATGTGGCATCGCCTTCGGCATTGGATTTCCTTCGAGAGGTTGCTCTTCGTCATCCAGGTCATCATCGTTGTCGGTATCTCGATCATAATCTGCCTGCTCCATGTTGACATTGTCTGGTTGTTGAGAGGAGGATGGATTCTCATCGACGACCTGCTCCATGGGGCAGTCGGATGTCTCATCTTCCTCATCACGAGCAGGGGATTCCTTCAAAGGAGATGCCCGTCTCTTCACTAGCGGCTTCGGCGAAGGAGCCGCCGTGCTGGATTGCCCGAAGATCATGTTGAGAATCGGCATGTCTGCAAGGTGATCGAGCATACACGATTGCAAAGGTCGAAATGGTTGTAAACCGAAAGTGGCTGCGGATGCAGACACATATTTCTTGAGATTCAAAATGGGTCAAGTGCAAAAACACGCATCACGGAATTGAGGAATTGAAAATGTGCAAAATGAAAAACTCATGCATCAGAATTCGTGGACATGCGGATCATGCCCAGGTTCCCAATAAGCCAATATGGATTCTGCTATCCCGACTCCTGCAAAGGCTGTGATGTCGGGTCCGGGTCCGTGTTTCGTATTGTGTGCTAGCCACTCAACCAAAAATGCCTTGTTCTGCAACATAGTACGGAAAGGTGGATGTGTATCAACATTCAAGAGGTTGCCGGTGAGGACGGCCTTGATGAGCTCGTCTGCTTTAGCTGAATGCTTGGTCAGCGAATCTGCCAGGCAATCTTCACTCCGTGCATGTGCAAGGTCGTGCATCTGTCCACTGTTGCTTTCCTTTCTCAACAGTTGGATCAAA